TAGCAAGAGGCTGTCTTATTTGCACTGAGGAACTTGACTCATGCTGAGTCTAGAGGTGCACCATAAAGAATGTACTATTTTTAGGTTGTCTGTCATCAACCCAAGTTCCTTCCAATGTATCCTGGTTTTTTTTCATAAAAAAAATTGTTTCTTAAATTTCTGTTTCTGTTTAGGATATGATCAAAAATATCAGTTGACATTTTAAAGTACTCTATGGTATTCATTTCTAACCTTCCATCAAAAGTATTACCCTTTTCATTTCCAACAAACTTACGTTTGATCCCTCACCAGACAAATATTTATTGGTCCCAATAAGGTTAACATGAATATATGAAGTTACCAATTAGGTAGTATGATTTCAGGCAGGTCCAGAAAGGTTATAGTCCCTAGATATTTCCCTCACTTGGATGCAGCCTGCTATTTCATTATTAGCATTTCTTCCTTCAGTTTCAGATTTTGTGTTGTTGAGAGAGATTCATTTCAAACTGTAAGCAATTTGCACTTCAGTATAAAGGATTTTTTCAAGCACAGTTTTAATAGATGAGCCAGAAAACATGATAGGCTTGAGGTCAATGAAGAAGCTACTACTATGTATAGAGCATTGTGTGTGTGCATTTGTGTCTGTGTTCAGATAGTCTTTAAAATGATCCCAAAAAACCCAAACCACTAAAACTAACAAAAATGATAATTTTAGTAAATAAATTCATGTAAACCAAGGATTCAGGAGACAGTCTGAGGGAGAAGTACTTGACAAAAGAGCTGTGATTTCTTACCCACATGCATTTAATCATTGGAAAGCCTAGATTCTTAAGGCTTACATGGAATTTCAAATTTCCCATCACTATTTCCCCACAGATAAACTCATATCCATCTGAGTATGGATGGTGGGTATGAAGATACCCACAACATGTCTCCCCGAGATTCTTAGAACTGACCCACCACTCTGGAATGCAGATTATTTTTAGGTGAGATCAACTGAAGCCCTAGTGGCTAAGAAAAAGCTATTCTTCCTCCCATATTTTAAGAAATAATTACTATTTTCTTAGCTAACTAGAAATGAAGATTGGAAGTATTATAAAGAAATAAGATTAGCTGGGTCTCCCTGGTGGTGCAAGGGGTTAAGCACACTGCTATGAAGCTGTCTGCAGCCACTACAGCATGAATTCGATCCTGGGCAGGCCAGGGAGGTGACCCACATGGTGCAGCAGAACTCTCCTGCCTTACCTGCTGCTCCCCTCAGCAGTGTATTTCAGTCAGTCTGCCTGTTCTGTTCCCCACTCTGTCTCTCGTGAATCCTTTCAGCCCCCATACCTCTGACCTGTACCCCAGTTCTTGTATCCATAAATAAATAAATCTTTTAAAAACAGAAATAAGATTATCTGTAAAAAATGTCTTCTCTATTTGAGAAACCTATTATATTTGCAGAGTAAATATCAGTTACCTCCTAGTCATATGATGTACCTTCCCTCTCCTCTTGGCACCCCAGGGTTTTATCCCACCCTTTAGTACAGGATGTAAGCCCTCTTCTCCCATTCTGAGACTGGAATTCTCATCATCTATGTAGAATCCCGTGTACACAGCATTAAATTAATTCTTTTCTTCTACCAACATCTCTGGTGCTATTTTTATTACTAGACCAATCTGAGAAGAATACAGAGTGGTAGGGTAATTTCCCTCTGTTCTCTAACAACTGCACGTTCAGATCCTTGGTCTATAATATCTGGACATGCCAACTCTTCCCTGAGGACAATCCTGTTAGTTATCTACTTAGAAAGGCATACTACATGCAGAGACATGTCTGGCAATTCTGGAGTCAGGGAAAAGGAAATATTCTCTATTAAGATATGGTCTAGTTAATCCATCAACCTATTAACTTCTTTGCTTTCTCTCCTGGAAGAGTTCTATGAAGATTGTGTCATATTTTTTCTTAAAATCAAATTCCTTTGTCCTTGATATTTTCCTAGGTCATGTTCCAGAAAGACCTGATACTTATTCCTAAACTATGATCAATCTTTTTTCAATTAAAAACAGTATCACCTTTCTATTAGTTTGCTATTTTCATCCTACCTCTAGTTAGTTCACACTAGGTATAACATTTTGCAATCAAAATGCCAGAAATGCAAAGACGTGATTTTTTAAAACATTGAACTTATGTAGCTTAAGAACCCATTTCCACCAGGTAGGAAAAAACAAAAACAAAAACCCCAATCATATAAATAAATTCAAAGTCATTGATTCATTTTCAGGTTAAAAGAAAAAAACAAAACATATCTTTCTGTGTCTACTGAATTGATCCAAAAGTTTCACTGCTATCCTTCCTGGAGGCTATGTAAATTTCAAAATTCCAACATTGCAGACCTTTTGTGACTTTTTGTCCTGGTAGGAGGGGTGTGGCTGTCTGGCTCACCCAGTATGCTGTTCCTCTTTGATTATACTGAGGTTTAAACTCACAAGGTTTTGGCATCCATTTCTAGGCCTGCTACATCTGAGTATATGTGAGACCCCAGCCTGGACCTCTAAGGACATTCTGCATCCCCACAGCTCAATAACAAAATCAGTCAGTCATTTCTGTGCTCCTCCTATGTTTGGAGAATTCTTACTTGCCTTTTCCAATTATAACGGGGGCTCACATCGATGCCCTAACTCCAGTATCTCTCTCAGTTTCTGTTGAACTTGAGACTCCTTATTGAGACCACAGTGTCTTAGGCTACAACCTGATAGACAAGGCAACATATCTTCTCTTACCTATAAGACCTAGGGCTTTTCTCAGTGTTTATATAATCTATCCTAACTGCAGATTGAATTAAGGTACCAACCGATTATTTCAGATCTCTGGATTCTGTCTTCCTACTTTTTGGGTGAGCATTTGTCTCTTGAGAGCAGGAAACTGCTCTTGAATTATTAGAGTTAATTAATTACTCTATGATTGATGACATAAACACCCTGCTATGAGTCCACCTTGGCTATCAGGCCTTTTCTCTAGCAAAAATTTTAGCTCTTACAACAGAAGAATGTGTTGGAAATTCAGTAATAATTTCTGTGTTTCTTTCTGTTTTTTACCACCCATGAGGATAGGCATAAAGAAGATGGTTTCAGTTTTCTTGGGGAACTGTTCATTGGTTAAACTTTTCCTTATCCTCCTCCTCCCCATCATATCTTTTTCTAAGGCTCATTTCCATAAAAGTCATCACAAAATAGACCATTTTGTCATATTTTTTAAAAATGTGCATTGTTTACTACATTTATTAGTCAAGATTACTTAATTTAAGGATTGTAGCTTTGTGAAAGGCACTGGATGATTAAGGAGGTGATTTTATTCAGGTTCACATTAGGAAGACCATTCATTAATGAAGATCATCTCAAAAAAGAAGGAGAAAATATGAGATTTATAGGGCTAAGTTAAGAAAAAAGTTATGAAGGATGGGCAGTGAGTCTTATGGGGTTGAAGAGGAGGTAGAGCCCATTTTATCTTGGAGGTTGAGGACAAGAGTAGGATTGTCCTTTGTCGTTAACTACTTCCCAGAACATAAAAGGTAGAGGATTCAAGTTCAACAATGTCAGTCCCAATTTTGTTCAAGAAGAATATCATTCTTCTTCATTCTATCAGATCATACAGAATTTAGCAAAATTAGAGAAATCTTTTACAAGCTCTTAGTAAAGCAGATAAATATAAACAAAAACTCTTCTCGAAAATATTATAAACACACCAAACCTTAGCTAAGTTTAAAGATGGTAAATGAAATTTCCTTTTCCATTAACTTTCTGTATTCATTCAGCTTTTGCCCTAAAAACCATAACCAATTCATTTTATCTTATGACAAAACTACTTTCTTTTTAAACAGAAACACATCCTGCATGTCAGGCACACAAAGCTATACCACCCTTCTCCCTGGATTATTGCTGATAGAGCCTCACACATCTATATTAAAGACAGGTATGTTAAATATGACCTCAGTAACTTATGTTTAAATATGATTAAATATGACCTCAGTAACTTACATTTCACAGAGAAAACCAGGAGGCAGATAACTGTGAACTGTCTGTCACACACCAATACTTTCAGCAGACAAGTTGAGTTCATGAATACACAGCTCACAGCTTCCTGCAGCCATACACATCTCTATAGTGCAACTTGTCAATGTGGGAAAAATGAACATGCTCACTGACAGACTCAGATAATTTCCATGTAACATAAATGAGGCAAAAAGTACATAAACTTAAAACTATGTTTATTTATGAATATTTCAGTAATCCATCTGACTTTGAAATGATCTAGGTATTCAATTAATACCTATTAACTAACTCAATTTAAAATAAATCTAAGAATTTAAGTTTCCTAAAAGATCTTGATAATTATTTCCATGCTGACATGGTACAAAACATAATTACTATTGTAATAGTTTGCCAGCATAGCTTCATTTGATAAGACACAAATTTATATTTTTCATAATTTAAGCATTAATAGTCTTAAACATTAGTTAACACATGACCAAAGGGTACCCCGGGACCCCTAAACTTGCATACTCTAAAAGGATCTGTCATCTACTGCATAAAGACAAGGACAGACTGTAGTGTCAAAGAACGTTAATATAATTAATGTGCATAGAGAGAGAAGAAGAAAAACTATTCCCAACAAAATGCCCAGATTACCCATCCACTCATGGGCAAATGCCCAACCAACCAGAGTTGGCTGAAAGCAGGACTGCTGAGGCCTGAAAGCTTGCCATGAGTATAATGCACCTTCTGGCAGGGAACTATAGGAAAGAGGTTCTGAAACAGGTCCCAGAAAACTGGGACAAAAGGAGCAAAATCAAAGAACAAATCAAGATAACAGCTGCCATTTTCAGCCTCCCCTGTGTCTCTCACCCATTTGTCTCTTCCAAGTGTCTCTATATGAGTCTCTTCTACATGTCTCTCGTTCATGTCTCCTTTCCAGCAGTATTAAGATAGAAGTCAGGTCACAGCAACAAGCATTCTCGCATGCCCCCAAGGCCACCTACCTTTTCTGTTATAGAGCTTCACCTGGCTTCTTCAGTCCTCCTGTCATTAACTGAGGTGGGGAACATGGTACCTCCCACTTTTAAGATGATGTCTCTGTAACAGCAATACTAGCTTAATCAATCAAAAAAGTTTGCACAGAAAATTCCCAAGTGGAATAAAAATCTATGAATATATTATTCTTACTATTAATCATAGAAGACATGATTGCTTTTTATAAAACCAAAAACATTAAACTGGCTTTTTTGCTAAAGCTTTATTTAAATTATGTGGACTTAAATTCCTAAAACATAACCAAGTTGGTTCCTATAAAGATAATGTTTCAGTCTAGCACACTGAAAATATCTGATATTCAATTTTTGGCAATTTTAGGAATATTCAATTTATATAAGTGCTAATTTATCATTAAGCCATCAGATTACAGTTCCTTTAAGAAATTTCATAATCTAATTTAATGATCCCATCTTGAGATAGAGAAATATTGCATATACAATGTGAGGTTCATGTCTTTTTGAAACAGAGCTGCACAATCATGCAGGCAGAGAGGTCTTGAAGTTTCAGTTCTGAAATTCCAGCCATAGTCAAGTAAAAATACATAATTACAAAACTCACATCTATATCCAGTAGCCATAATCTTCACAGTGGGTATGAATCATTGGCTTATTTGAGTTCAATATAGATTAGATAAGTAGCCAAACAGGAAAGACTAACAAACTGCATTGTCTCCCATTTAAAAGAAAGATGGCTATAAATCATTAATTTATTTTGTAGAGATCACCAAATGGCCAATCCATGAAACCAAAAGAAAACAGGACCAATGAAGAGAGTACACCAAAGGAATTGAAGTCAAACACTTACCATGCTGGACATGGAGAGAGTGCAAGCTTGCCAAAGAGGATTCAAGCTCCCTGCTGCAAACCAGACTGCCCATCAGGAGCAGAACTCAGAGAGTGCCAAGAGACATTGCAGCCTGGGTGCAGTAGTGGAGTCTGAAAACCCTGTGTTAGCCTATCCACATCACACTATCCACACTGAAAGATCAAAGTACTGGAAAATTAAGGAGATGATTTAATTCAGGCTATTGCAGTAGGACGCATTCATTAATGAACATCTGAAGGATGAGGGGAATATCTGGGGTTTCATAGAAGCAAATAAGTGAGAACGTTATGAGGAGGGATAGACAGTAAGTCAAAAGGGATCCATGGGCACAAGGCACAGTTAACCTCCAGGGCTCAGATACAGCACAACATTGCTTACCCCCTCACTTTCTAGTAGATCTCAAATGGTAAAGGGATTTAGGGGTTGAGGTAGGTGTGAAAGGCAGAGCTATATAATTTGGAAAAATTATTTAAGTGATATTGATTATACTATCTGCCAAGGGAAAATCACTTATTTACTTGGTAAGTGCCTTAAGGTCAGCAATTATATAATCATATAATGGGGAAGTTATTTAATTTCTCCAAGCATCTCTTTCCTAGTTAGCAAAGTTAGGAAGTTGTAGATAGGTACAATGATGTCTACTGCATATATTTTTTAAAGATTTATTTATTTATTTATTTATATAAGCACTGGGTACAGTCAGAAGTACGGGAGGGTGAGAGGATTCACTAGAGCCAGAGCGGGGAACAGAACAGGCAGACTGACGAAATACACTGCTGAGGGGAGCAGGGGGTGCAGCAGGAGAGGTCTGCGCGCCATGTGGGACCCTCGCTGGGGGCCGGGGATCGAACCGGCACTGCAGAGGCTGCGGGCAGCTTCGCAGCCCAGCACTCAACCGCTGAGTCACTGGGGGAAGCCCTTTATTGCATATTTATCCTTAAGAAAAAAAGACTGATATAGAGAAATCAGAAAGAGTCAGATAAAACCACATTCAAAACTTAGCCCTTGAAAACAGACTACAGGACTGAGACATTCAGTAGGGGACAGGATAGGAAAGCACAAGTGGGGAGGGAGTACAGTGGACTATGGTGGTTAACTAAGGGTGCTTTAGTGGTGGGAGTGCTATGGTAACAGCCCTGGAAGGAGGGGATCCTATACTTCCAAAATACAACACTTTTTCCTTGCTACCAGGAGAGGGGTCCATGGTATTGTTCTGGGTTCCCATCATAATTTAAAAGGTAACTTTCACAAGTTTTGAAACCTGGATATCCTGCAAATGAAGGAGGAGGGTGCTCTCAAATTCCTTGCAGCAGAAACCCACTTAGGGGGCAGGCACTACCCTTGATGTCCAATTGGAAAAACATCTCCAAATGGAAAGTGTTGGCATCTACATTATACATGAAAAAAAAAAAAAAAACCTAGGAAAACTGCTGTGGCAGCTTGTGGCATTGCTGCCACTGAAAACCTGATGGATGTCAGAGTGATATGCTCCAGGAATACTGGCCGGCAAGCCATGCTGAAGTTTGCTGCTGCCACCGGGGTCACTCTGTTGAGGTCGCTTCACTCCTGGAATCACCACTAATCAGGTCCAGGCCTTCCAGGAGCTGCTATTCCCGTCACCAACCCCGGGGCTGACCACCCGCCTCTCACAGAGGTGTCTTCTGTTAACCTACCTACCTTTGCTCTGCCGGAGGTGGGCTCTCCTTTGCACTAAGTGGGTCCTCACCCCACACAACAGGGAGCTCAGCGGCACAGGCCGTGGACGCTGGCCGACGTTCTGCGCATGTGCGGCACCATCTCCCGTGAGCACTCGCGGGAGGTCCTGCCTGTCTCCGCGTCCACTGAGGGTGGAGGGTCTCTCTCTTCAGGAGACCCTGAAGAGGTTGTCCCTGGAGTTTAGCAGCTGCAGAGGGACAGCAGGCCGCTGAAGGAAAGGTAGTGATCAAGAAGGAAGCTCAGGATGAATGACTTTACAGTACTCAACCTGAGGTCACAAATCGGTCCCCATCCAGCAGTTCCCTTCTGCACATCCCACTGAATAGGTAAGAACAACCACATAGAGGTCATAAGTTATTCTTTCACATAGAATATGGATATAAAGTTGACCAGGACAAAAAAAAAAAAAAAACAGTTTTTGGAAAAAAAATCAATTCTGCCTGTTTTTTTAATGTGGCCAGTAGACATTTAAAATTGTAATTGTGGCTCACATCACATTTCTGGTGGACAGTGCTGGGCTAGAGGTTTGCATCGCAGCCCAGGGCACAGGAACCTTTAGGAAAGGGGATGGAAGTGGCATTTGGGGTATTTAACAGGATCTTTATTTTGGTAAACTTCAATTGTATTAAAGAAATGCAGGAAGCAAATATGAAAAACATGTTGATAGTTGCTAAGTATGAGGCTAAAGATGATTGCTATATTATGTCAAATCTTTTTAATTTCTCAAAAGGGAAAAAGTAAAATAAGTTTTTTGATTAAACAGCCCGGATAAAATAATTATTTTCTTTACAATGTCTTTCCCAAATGCAAAAACGTGCATAATTCATACTTCCATATTTTGGCTGGATGAAATGAACAGTGCACTGAAGTTTATTAAAAACTAGCTAAGGCCTTATATAACTCACTTATATTTTCTTTGCTTCATTTTCCTTTTCTATAAAATGAGCGGTTGAGGAGAATTTTCAAGATCTCTCGAGCTCCCAGAGAAAACTTATTTGTTCTTTATGTGTCATTCGGGAGGTGGGGGGGTTATTATGGCAAACGTAATAAATTATTGTAAAATAGCTGAATTTATCAAACAAGTGTTTCTAGTAGTGGCCGTGACATTGACATAACATCCTTCATGTAACTAAGTCTGATGAGTTTGTTTAGAAATTTGGTATATTTTTAATTTAATGTCCATGAAAAAACTTTTTCATTTATATTTCTTGGTCTGTAATGAAATTTGCCTTTAATTTGCATCAGGTAGTCAGTACAACAGACTATTATACAGATTTAGTATATTATTGTTTTTAATCTCTCTTTCAAGTTGCAAGTGTGTTTTCTTCCATTATAATAATTATTTTTCTTTAAGATGTCTTTCCCAAAGCTAGTAATTATTGCTTCGATTTCTCCCTTCCTATTACCCCCCTTTGTTTTTTTGTTTCCTAATCTATTTTTCTTTTGTTTTTTATTTCTTATTTTCCATCTAAGAAGTATTTGCACTGGTGGTACTGGATCAATGTTCAAAGATATGCAAATATGAAAACTAGACAAGAGTAGAACTTAGCTAAAGCTCATTTAATAACTATCTTCAAAATATATTCAAAGGAGACACTCTGGTAAGATACAGGATCTACACTGTGGAGAGGTCACATAAAAAGCAAAGATTAGCCTCTTGTTAAGAAATTTAAAACTGGGCCTCCCCGGTGGCGCAGCGGTTGAGCGCTGGGTTGCGAAGCTGCCCGCAGCCTTTGCAGCGCCAGTTCGATCCCCGGCTGCTCCCCGGCCACCAGAGGAGGGTCCCACATGGCGCGTAGACCTCTCCTGCCGCCCGCTGCTCCCCTCAGCAGTGTACTTTGGTCCTTCTGCCTGCTCTGCTCCCCGCTCTGGCTCTGGTGAATTCTCTCACCCTCCCGTGCTTCTGACTGTACCCAGTGCTTGTATAAATAAATAAATAAATCTTTAAAAAAAAAAAAAAAAAAAAAGAAATTTAAAACTAATTTATCATTTTATTTTTTTAAGATTTTTTTATTTATGCATACAAGAGCTGGGATACAGACCAGAGTTGTGGGGGGTGAGAGGATTCACCAGAGACAGAGTGGGGAACAGAACAGACAGATTGACTGAAATACACTGCTGAGGGGAGCAGTGGGCGAGTCAGGAGAGGTCTGCTGTGCCATGTGAGTAGCTCCCTGCTTGGCAGGGGAATCCAACTCACTCGTGACTCACTCATGTTGCAGTGGCTGAGGTAGCTTCATAGGTCACATCTTAACCCATTGCGCCAGCAGGGAGGCCCCTAATTTATCATTTTAATAGAAAATAAAATTCTGAAGTTTCATAAACATAGTATTTAATGTTAAAGATCACAGAATTTTTTTCCTATGACTAAACTCATCCAAACAAACCAACTCTGATAAATATTTAGCACATTTTACTATTTGTTTTTGAAACTGAACATTGGAAACTAGAGGAAATATAAGTATCCTTCCTTTCTGCAAACTTACGGACCTGTCTGTATCCCTGAAGGACTTGTTTTTTCACTACCCTCTTCAGATTGGATGTTCTAAAACAACCAGACAATTTAAGACAAAACTCTTTTTATCTTGCTAAACAAAATCACATTTCATTTCTTTCACTGTATATTCATACTTCTGTGCCACCATTGTTTCCAGCATAGCATCAAAACTCACAGCAGTTATAGCTTTGCCAAAGAAACTTACTTCTACTTTACAGAGAAAACTGGGAGGTAGATGATGAGAACTATCTGTCATATATAAGCAGTTTAGCAGACTAGCAAAACTTACAAATAAAATAACTTCCTATAGCCACTCACGTCCTCACATTCTTAAGGTGGAAGAATTAAATACATTTGTTAATGTGACATAGCATGTAAAGATAGAAGCAAAGTTTTGTGCACTTAAAATTATGCTTAATAATCTGTTTTAAAATGTAATCATATTTAAACATTATCGGGTAGTCAGTGATTATTCATTAGCTAACTTAATTTAATATTAGCCCAAGATTTTAAGTTACCTAAGAGTCTTGTATACTATGTTTAAACAGGTACACTATAAAATATGATTAGTTATAATTAAAAATATTTTCAGAATAAAAACTCAATTAATTGAACACAAATCAACATTTTCATAGTCTTAAGTACTATGTAGGAGTAACATTAGCTTTTTCTAGATAAGTAATTCAATATAAAATATTTAGAGTGCTCAGATGTTTCTTTATGAGAAAATACTCTTAGAAAAATTAAGTTTGTATTTGTTTTCCATGCTGATAAAATTTGAGAATAAGATATAACTGCATTTTTTTCTTTATAAAACCCAAGTTATTAAATCAAAGATACAACTTACTTGGCTGAAATTGTATTCTTATATAAAAATACTTTTGATCTGATAATTTCTGTAAGAGTTTTTTTTCTTGAAGTATGGACATTAAAGCTTTACAAGTTCAATTCCTTATTTTCTGCAACTTTTAGAAATCTTATCATTATAAATCAATGCAAATAGAATTCCTTTAAATTAAGATACATTATACTCTAATTTATCAAACCCCTTGGAAAGAGGAAATCACTAACATATTGGACTTCATGTCATTTCTCATATTTCTCTCTGTATCTTCCATCCAAATAGCTAGAACATAAAACAACAAACATAAAACCAAATTTCCATCACTACTGCCACCAAATAGTGATTATCAGTTGTGTGTGGTCAAGAAAAAAAACAAAATCACAAAACTAATGGAAAGTGGAGGGAAAATCTGGAGAACCAACAAATATAAAGATCTGTTACCACCTGGAAGGAGCTAAAAAGTTCACTTTCTGTGCTTAAACAGCCCATTTTCCTAGCAGTACATTAATTTGACTCTATCCAGAGAGGTTTTTTTTTGGTTATCTTCACACAACAAATTTGGTGTACTAAATGTATTTGTCTTTTTAAAAATACTTTTTAAAAAGTTTTCATGGCAGAGCACTTTAAACATATGCAATATAAAAAGAATAGTATAATGAAATCCATGTAACTGTCACTGAACTTTAACAACTGTCACTCATGTCAATTTCTTACATTTAAAATCACACCTACTTTTCCTTCCTTTTGATTATTTTGCAGTAAATCTTGTATATGATATTTCTTTTTCTCTAAATATTTCATATCCCAATGTTTATTGGTAAAAAAAAAATCATAACACTATTACTGAATGTCATCCTTGTCCCTATAGTTTATTAGAAACCCTTTATATTATCAAGTTTCCAGACAGGCTTTAAGAGTCACTAGTTGGCTTACTACTATATTCTATCGATATTTTCCTTACATCAGAATTTAAACTATATCTACACCTTTTATTTGGTTGTTTCATCTCTGAAGTTTCATTGAATCTATTGATTCATCTTTTTCTGTTTTTTTTTTCCCCCCTTGCCTTTTGTTTGTTGAAGAAACTGGGTCATTGATTCTTAAAATTTTCTATATTTAAAATTTTGCTGATTTGTTTAACACAGTTGGCTGTCTACTATATTGTCGTTAACCATTAGTAAGCTGTAGATACTTGACATGTTAGATATTTGATTAGATTTTGCTTTGACTTCTTGGCAAGAATTTTTCCTAAGTTGAATTGTGTACTTCTGTCAGGAGGATTTGCTGTCTGTCTGTTTTGTGATGTTAAAATTGATCAATGGGTTCATATATCAGTCTGCAAGTTTCATTATTAAGCTCCAAGCTCCCTTTCTGATTTTTATCTAATAGTAATGTATAGATACCGGTATTTCATTAAGGATTACAAAGTAGTGATGCTTTATATTACTTTCATAATGTATTAACTGGAATACTACTATTAAGATAAAGACTTTGAATGAGGAGATGACATCAACAATCAAATTTGTACTTAAGAAGAGTAAGTCTGATAATAACATGAAAAATGGGTAGGAAGGTGAGATGTGGGGGCGAAGAGGAAATCAGGATGACCTGAAAAAAGTAATAATAAGAGGGAAGAAAATGACCAAAAAAAAAGAGAATTTCATGAAACTGGAGTAGGCAACTATTCTGCTGATCTCAGAGAAAACCTGGTTTCTGGG